TGGCTATGGTGCTGCTTGCAGTAGCTTGAGGCAATGCCGCATACACACTGCTCACTGTGACTGCAACAAACCAGTACATTTTAATGACCGGGAAGTTTTTCCCCATTTTTTTTTGTGGAATTGTGCCCCAGCTCTACCCACCTGATCTAAAAAACCCCTCATCTTCTCTCCATTTGGGGGAATGGGACATATTTCCCAAAGAAGCAGGCAGACAATAAAAACGTTGCTTGTGCTTAAAAAGTACAAAATGCAAGTGCAAAGCTGTTTCTTCGGGCTCTCTTGTTGTAGGGAGCATGGGGCTGTGTGTGGGCACATCCAAGATTTCCTGAAGAGGGGTGCTGAATACCACCCCTCGGGCTGTGGAGGTGGGGGCCAGGCATAGCTGGAGCTCTCAGGTTGACAGGGGACATTGGGACTCAAGGACATTGGGACGGGAGCAGGGGCATGGAGGCAGGGGGACCTGCCCCTGTTGAGACTGCTGCCACTGTCCCCAGCTGGCCTGGGAGCAGAGGGAAGCGGGGCCAGAGCTGCTGCTGCCCTGCTCCAGGAGGGTGCTGTTGGGAATGGCTGCTGTGTGGGAAGCTGGGCTCGGCTGGGGACAGCCGTGGTGGTGCAGTTTCCTTCCAGCCCCTGCTCCTTGCCTTCCCCTGCCCACCCACAGGTTTCTCTTGCTGGCCAGGAGCAGACACTGGAAGGAGGAACATGTTCTCCGCTGTCATTGTCCCCTACTGAGCCTGGCACCCTGTGCAGCTACAGCCCACAGCTGAAGTGGAGCAGGTGTGGCTCTGGGGCTTTCTCCTTTGTCCAGGTCAGCTAGGGATAGTGGTGGAACAGGGGTGCAACCACACTCGTGCAACCCCTGGATCTGCCCCAATGCAGTGGTCTGTCAGCGGGGCTGGGAGTCTGGGGTCTAATCTCACTGCTAATACTAACAGACCATAATACTTTGTACTTAGTGGCTTAAACGTTTTGGGAAGGTGTCTCTCTCCCTATACCTTGTGCAGCTGGTAAATAACATTGCTCTCCTTGGACACATGGTAGCAGATACTCATTAAATGACTGGTCACAAGTTCAGCAAATGAGTGCTACAAACTATACCCCTGCAATTAAGTTAACTCCTGCTTCCTGTTTCATCCCATCTCTCAAACAAGTCACTTAACTTCCCTGCATCTCGGTTTCCCCAGGTGTGAACTGAGGATAATAATGACCTCTCTTGGGGCATCATTCTACAGCCATGTTGCTTATGACAAAGCTGGCAGTGTCTTTCGTTAGCTGTGGGAGATGTACGAGGAACAGTGTTTTGCCTCCCAGTGGGCATATGAGAAGTAATCTTTTGGTGTCAGGTTGTCAGACTGCTGATGTGATGTGTGTGAGCACAGTCACACACTTTAAAAGGAACAAAGGACTGTGGGACGTGGCCTCCCTAGGAGGCAATGAGTTCTAGTAGATGAAGCCTGAAGCTAGAAGGAGACCTGGAGTCTCAATCTAATTCTTCCTTGTTTTGTGAAACAACAAGTAGGATTTGCTTGGTAATTTCTTTTATTGCACCAACTGAGTATGTCTACATGTGTATTTATGTGCGCCTAAACTTAATGTGCCATTGCTTAAGGTGCGTCAAGGCAATTTAGGTGCAGGTCTATACGTAGATGCACTAATGTACATCAAGGTGCGTTAAATTGAGGCACAACTAGCTAAGTCACATTAGCACATGTGCAGATGTGCTAATGCACATTAAAGCTGTGGATGTCCATTAACGCACACCATGTTAATGTGCATTAGTGCATCTACACATGTACTAATGCGACTTGGCTAGTTCACCTAAATTTGATACCTGCTTTATGCAGGTATCTCTATGCAGATATCAAATTTAGGCTCATATAGCCTTAAATCGCTATTTTTAAGGTGCATTAAGGGCACGCACATGTAGACACATGCCCTTAATGTGCCTTAAAATGGCCACTTGAGGTTAAGTCCACTTAAAAGAAGCACGAGTAGACATGCCTGCTATGTAGTTCTTACAGTGTGGGATGGTACATGACAGCCAGTGGTGTGTAGTTGGTAGTGGGAGTTCTTCTTGTATTGTAGTTGGTCTGTGTGAGATATCTGGGTGGTTCATTCAAAGCTACAGTCTTTTCCGCTGCTGGAATGTCCTTGCTGGGTAAAGGAAATTTTTAGCGTGGTGAGGCAGGTGTCTTAAGTATTGTCTTCAGACCAGGTGTGGTGGTATCTGAGTTCCTGCCTACAGATTATATAGTTGGCCCCAATAAAAGATATTACCAAACAAGTCTTGCTTCTTGCATATTCACTGTGACATCACAGCTACAGCAACACCGCAACATTACTGTGAACCTTGGACATTTCCTATGCCTTCATTTCATCTTTAGCAGAATGGGAGTCAATTATGTTGACCTACCTCCTAAAACATGTGATGCATAACATGTGAAAAGCTGCCTAAGTATAAAGCATAGGAGAGCCACTGTTTGGCAGGAATTAGCTGTACGGATTATTTGTTGCTGTGTTCATATCTCTCACCATGAGCCCACGCTCCCTCCAGAAGGGACATTCACCTCCCAGCCCCATCCAACCAGTCCAGCTATCTAGGTGTCCTTACGTATTATTGCAATAATAGCAACTAACTCTACTGCTTGTCTATTATTTTGCTTCGGTTCTTGTGGCATTGGACATGGTTTCCATGGGTAGAAAGGAGAAAAAAAAAATGAGAATAAGTAATGAGACAGTCACTTGGTTAACTGGGATTATAAATAATCTCTCTGATTTTCTTAAATTTGGTTTCATCAGGGGCCCACTTGGAAAGGTTGTAGTTGCATTGCTTTCCAATTTTATGGCTACGTGGTTTTGGAAAGAGACATTTAGCATGGAGAAAGAAACACAAATTTTGCTCTTTGGAGGTGATTGTTTTCATGTTATGGATTCCTATGAGCTGCCACAATACAAATGCCAGCTGTGGACCATTGTGCTAGAAAATATACAGACAATCTGAGCATAAAACAGACATCCTGTCAAGCCAGGCCTCTCTTGATTTGCTGTCTGGTACCATGTAAACCAGTATAGCCTGTTCCATGGTTGGGTTGTCGACGACTAAACCGATGCCCCCACGTGGGTTAGCCTGGGTGAGGCAGGTGTGTGGACACCCAGCAAGACTAAAAACAAGACCTGTCAAAGGGTGGATGAGCTCCCTGTGAGCCAATGGCCATCCATACCTAGAGAGGAGATGGGTGCCACCAGGTCACTTTGCCTGAAGAGTCATCAAATGATGCACAGCATTTAAGGTGGCCCAATGGTCACAGCAGCCTCGGGACTGACTTGACTCGATAAAACAGACAACCTGTAGATGGATACGGGTAGACAACTTGAAGACAGAAAAATTGCAATGTATAATCCTGTTAGCATGATAGGCCATGGTCAGTGCACTCCAGCTGTGTTACCATTGCCAACTATTTTGGTAAGTATGATGACAAAATAGTTTTAGGGAAGAATGTAAAGGAGGACAGTGAGTTAGAGCCATGTCCCACAGTACACTTAGGATGTGTTAACTGTGCATCTGCGTGTTCAAGCAGTAAACCATGAGCTAAATGGACTTGTGTCATAGAAAAGTTCGGACTTCATCCAGATTGTATTAAATAGCATGTGTTGAGCTAACAACAGACTGCTCTATGGAGGTAATACAACCCATTTGCAGCCAATTCAGGTCAATCCCAGCCCCCACAACATGGAAGCTGATTCAAGACCCCAATATGGTGAAGGGGGCTGGGAGCAACAGTGCTGTTTATGGGTCCCAGGCCCATCCCTGCAGAGTCTTGAACCAGCTCCTCTGTGGTCGGGGGCTGGGATTGGCACGTAGTTGCTTGTTGCCCTGGTCCCCTCCATAGCACTGAAGCTGGTTCATGACTATGGTGTGGCACGGGAGCTGGGACCAACAATCACAGTGTTTGTCCATTGTGCAGTCAGTTCCAGCCCTGTCCAGAGAGCGGAGATGATAGTAAGCATTGCCATGCAACTGCTCTGAAAGCTTTCTAACTTGTAGCAATGCTTACTACGATCTAAATAAAACGTCCTAAATGTAACATGCAACAAGGTCCATGGTTTGCCAGTGTTTACAGGTCATTGCTCCTACATATGGTCATGGAGGAAAGCATGAAAATATAAGAAGCAGAAAATGAAGGCTGGTCTTACTGGCAAATCAGAAGTGGGAGTCAACATCTCAATAGTGTAAAGAGATGGTAGAGTACTTGGGAATAAGTCATGAAGGGTCTTGCAAGTGAAATAGCTGTGTTTAATTAGTTCTTATTTTTTAACATCATTTCTATTGGTCAGGTATTCGAATGGCTTTGCATTTTGCACTTCCCTGAGTAGTATTCATCTGTTGTGCTACTGAAACATGTCACAATTTAGCAAAGGAAAATACTGAAAATAGAAACACAGGAATGGATTACCTAGAAAAGTTGTAAAAGCCCCTACAATGTTTTTAAGAGCAGGTCAGACAGACCCTTAGATGAGATGGTTTAGGTAGGGATAATTATGTCTCTAGCACAGGGTTGGACTGAAGGACACCCTGTTCAACCCTTTATTTCTATGATTTTCTGATTCTAAGGCTAGACACAGACATTGCATTTGTCCTGGGATAAGTGTGCTTATGTTTGGCCCCAGAACAGAAATGTCCCAGGATTGCCATGTACGCACATCACCTTTCCAATCAAGGTTTAGTGAGCAGTTGAATGCATTGCTGCTTCTCTGCCATTTATTCAATGATACAATCCCAGGACAACCATTCAGAGGTACTTCACAGCGTCCTGGGACAAACTTAGCATCTCTTATTCCATGAACCTTTCCAGAGTTTGTCCTGGGTCAATGAGCATGGATGTCTGAACGATTGCACTTTGTCCTGGGATAAAATGGTTTCTCCCAGGACAGTGTGACAGCTGTTTGTTGCCTAAGATTTGTATTTCTTGCAATGACTGGGATATTTCTTCCTCCTTTAGGAGCATCAGATGCCTGAGAAACATTATCCACTGGAACTTGATAACAACATTCATCCTGAGGAATGTGATGTGGTTTTTGCTTCAAATGATTGATCATAACATACATGAAAGCAATGAAGTAAGTGCTTTGAGAACTGTGGATACTGGTTAAGTATTGTGGAAGGATGTTAAATGATTTCTATAAACATATGAGTGGGTGTCCTTGGTAGTATTTTAAAATGTTTCACAAAGACTGGGTGAACAATCAAATATGTCTTGATGACATAAATATTCATCTCTTTGTTGAATATTCCTAATCTGACATTTACATTCAATATACAAAAAAACCCAACCTTTTATTCTTGGTTAACACAAGTACTCTGCAACTTCATTGCAATATAGTATAAGGGAATGTAATGCAGTCTCAGAATCGGACAACCAACCAGCCCATCAGGGTAGGATGGTTAAGTTAGGCCAATTTCTACAGCTAATGGTACTCAACAAAGCAATATGGCCAGAACTGAGTGTGTCTACATGTGCAATTAATACACAGAAAGCTTAGTGTGCAGTAAAATACTGAACAATAAGCTTTCTATGAGAGCACATCTACACATGCTCCCATCGGGAGCAAATTTGCTTCCAACAGGAGCAGTTCAGGGCGGGAAATGCCTCCCCTGATCTTCTGCCATATGGCAGCCAGGGGGAGCGCTAGACTCCCCCAGATGCCAACCCCAGGTTGGCAGGGGATGCCTGGGTCAGGTCTGGGCTCCAGGAGGTGGGCAGCGGCAGCTGTTTCCCAGCCCCGAGTCCCCTACCCTGCAGTTGTTTCTCAGCCACCTTCCCTGATCCACTAATTGCCTGCCCTGATCCACTAATTGGTGGATCAGGGCAGGCAG